GGTAGTGATACAGCTGCTACTGCTTATTGAAATATTCAAGGTCGGTAGTGATACAGCTGCTACTGCTTATTGAAATATTCAAGGTCGGTAGTGATACAGCTGCTACTGCTTATTGAAATATTCAAGGTTGGTAGTGATACAGCTGCTACTGCTTATTGAAATATTCAAGGTTGGTAGTGATACAGCTGCTACTGCTTATTCAATCTGAAGAACCTTGAATCTTCACAATTACTCTGAAGTTAACTTTTAAACGTATGTCAAAATTTTTGAATTCTTCGCATCGTATATAACTTTTGCTAAATGCAGAAGTTCTCAAGACAAATTCTGTCTAAAATGAACAAATGCATTTACTAGAAACGAGACCTTTTTTGGTACTTAGGATGATATCGTGTATATAATGAAATGCTTTCAGAGGCAAGCTTTTTGTTAAGTTAGTGAGATTATTCTAACAGTTAACCAGTAGTATAATAATGGGTACAAATGCTATTCGATCGATTTCTGTATGTTCATGACTAAGCTGACATTACACAAGCCTGGCCCTTACAATTTATTTTTTGGGCATCCGATTACCGAACTCCATTATATCACTATTGTTAACTTTCCTTTCCTCAATAGCAACATACCAAAATTCGATTTCTCTCCTCATATTTTGAAATTTATTCACGACCCCAGAGCCTGTTTTAAGTGTCAGCAGTTTACATATTGAAGTTGATTCAAATATTACTATAATTCAATGCATAATTCCCAATATTTCATTGATGAAAATGGAATAAACCAAAACTTCTCAACCATGGATTTTTTGCTGTTAGATATTTGCTTATATTAATAAATTCAAAACAATCACTATATTCACGGACGTTATTTAATGTTAACATCTTTACATGAAGTTTATTTGGGATAGTATTCTCAGACAGAAATAATACAGAGTGTCACGCAGTTACCATTCTTACTTATTTAATATCAATAACAGATAAGCGAAGGAACAGTAGGATAATGAGAAAAAAATGTACGAACAACATCGGCAGTTTCAAATACTAGTCATAGTTGTCATGATATCGCGAATGAAATACATCTGCATGTGAAATTCGTTTCCCTTGACGCGGAAATAAGCCCAATAAAATAACAAGCTTCTTTCAAAAATGAAATAAAAACTAACACGCACAGTTGTGCATCAACTGTTGTACAAAGATATCTAACAAAAAAATTAAAAGCCATTCTATGTTTTATAATATTGGAAACGAATCATCCTTACTATTCCTTTTGCATTGTTTATGAGGACAAGACTAATGCAACACTTCGGATACTACATTGCCTGTTCCATTTTACGCAATATCTTTGGCTTTCCGTTGTTCGAAATCCTAGATTATTGAAGGTTCATGCACTCCCTCATACATTATATAGACAATAGGAATAAACAACTGACATGGCAGAGCTTGTTAGAATTACCGTTGCAGTCCTTAATCCTCCAACAGTTTATTGATGAACCTGGTATAGTTCAAAGCCATTTCAAGGCTCTGTTCTTCTCCTCTCGACCCAAGAACATCTTGTCTCGGATTAAAGAACGATGGGACTTTTCCTTCTGAGAGACATGCCTCACACCTACGATAAATGTCTCGGACCAGGGCAATATCAATATCTCTTTCCGTTGACTGTACATTTCGCACCTCGGCTGGTCCATATGAACATGCCAGTCTCTTGCGTTTGGAAGGCGGGCTGGATGAATCAGGATCGATATCATGTTCTGTATTTGTTATGGTACCACTGACTTCTGATTGAGAATATTCCGACTTTCTGTTTTGCGAATCAACATCATAAACACTCCCTAGTCCTTCCCTTCCTACCTTGTATTCTAGAGAAAACAAGAACATCATTTTCAGAAAGTAGGATGGAATTGCTTCGCCTGCGGTAGTAATAAACACAAACTCCTCAGATCCACACATTGATGCCATGCTTGAGGATTGTCTATAGAACGCACTTTCTTCCGTTTCTTCTTCGCGCGCTAAGGGACAAACCAGAGTGGAATTGAGCAATGCCTTTGCGGTCGTGTAGCTGTTTCTGATGCGCGGTTTTAATTTTCGGAATATTGCTGTTTCATGTAATGACATGGAGTAGCGCCAGAGATCTTCACACTCCCCACCTGCCATCTTGGGCACAGCCATGCCAGGGATACTAAGAATATCCGGGGTAAAGAGTTTACAATCCCGTCTTATTTTCTCTGGCCAACAAGGAAGTCGGATAGCGGGAACAAGATCAACGTTTATGTCCATCATCTTATAACGGCTACCCCTCCACTGCAGAGATAACGCAGGTTCAATAGTCACCTCTTGGATAAGAAGATTTGGGTTTTTGGGGAAACTTTCGCTTAGAAGAACCTTTGTCAGTAAATGGCTAAATTGATGATACATCATGTAGCATGGAATCACTCTCGAATCGCGTTCACTGAGGTCCAATAAGGGTTCTGCGTCGATCGTATCTTTCACGTAAATCCTGGTGTAATCCGAAATTGTAACAAGTTCTTCCGATGGCTCAGTATCTCCAATTAAGTCCCCTAAAATACCACCTTTACGCACCTTGTTCGGACAGAATCCAGCTCCTAACGTTCTATATTCATCCTCTTCCTGAAATTCTGGATACGTGTTTTCGCTGAATTCCTCTAGACAAAACATGAAATCGAATTCGTCAGGGTATCTTGTTTTTGTACCCTCTGAGGAGCTTCCTGCACGTAACAATGTTGCTTTGAAGTTTGAATCGAGCTTACCTAGGTGCTGTACAATTGTCTCTGCAACACCTTCTACAGCAGTATGTATATCTCGAGCTTCATCTTCAAACAAAACAAGTCCTACACCAGATGTATTAAAAGCGCTATCACAGAACTGAGTGATATCCCGGTCAGATCTTGTGAGCTTGCCATCTTTCCCAAGCAGATCATCAAAATCGTTCTTACTCATCAATTTATTTGCAACATCTGAAAATGTCTTTATTGAATGTGAGCTTTCTTCACTTCCAAGGATCTCGACCACATCTGAATATTTGAAGATTGCTGTGTCTCGGGGAACAGATCCTGACAAATCCTTCATTTCCCGATCGGCACCGTGACTAACCAGGGTTTCTGTGGCAAGCCATGAATTCGCCCATGCTGCAAAGTGCAGTGGCGTTGACAAGTATTTGTCTGTAGCATTTACGGTTGCGCCTTTGTCGAGAAGAAGAGTAACCGCATCGGAACAGTTAGCTGCAGCTAGATGTAGGGCGGATGTTCCATTGTTATCTCGGATTTCTATGTCAGCTTTATTATTAACTAGAACCTCTGCAACATCAAACTTATCATTTGCGACTGCTTCGTGGAGTGGAGTGGAGCCCCAGAAATCACTGCAGTCGACATCACAGCCACATGATATCAGCGTCTGTGTCGTGTCAACACTGTTTTTTGCTTCTTTGGCTGAAGCGACAGTGTGGAGTAGACCTTTCCCTCGACCATCTTGGCATCGAACATCACATCCCTTCTGTACCAAATGTTTGATAATAATACAAAGTCCACGCGATGCTGCAATGTGAATTGCAGATAGTCCCGTGACAGTTGCGACATCAATAGTTTCTGGGCTGGTCAATAATAAATCAAGTTTGCTAGCAAACTCTGCTTCTTCTTCTGTATTTGTAGGTAGATATCCATCAATCAAGTAATGGATAGGGCAATATCCTTTCCTATCATGTATATCCAACGCAGCTCCATGCTTTATAAGGATAGCTATGGAATCAAACATTGGAAGTATTTCACATGCATGATGAAGAGGTGTTTTACCAACTTTATCTCGCATATTTACTGTTGCTCCTGCCGAAATCAGCCTCGTTATCACCTCACAAATAGGACCGTCTTTACTGAAACGACATGCACTGTGGAGAGGAGTATTTCCTAATGCATTTTGTGCATTCGTATCTGCCCCTAGCTGAAGAAGATAGAATACAAGCCCGATGTCCTCCCTGGTTACTGCTCTGTGCAGGGGAGTGTTGCCAAAGTCGTCTCTGTCTCCGAGTCTACCACCTGCTTCAACTAATGCCTTTGCAATGTGGACATCTCTCACGTTGTGCATAGGACTGCAACAGGTATCATTTACGGCAGCACCGTTCTGTAGCAGTATGTCCACTGCTGCTCTGTGACTTTTCATAGTTGCCATATACAATGGAGTGTTCCCAAGTTCATCTCGAAGGTTAATGTCCACGTCGACCCCTTCTAGACACTTCTGTAGCAGACCGATATCACCGAGGGTGGCAGCTTTGTGGAGATCACTAGTACGACAGGCTACGGCTTCAGGTGTCCTCTCCTTTATGAGTTTGAATAGGCCTTTAAAAGGATTGTTGTCCGCCATATTTCGTTTTGCTCTATAATAGAAAGAAAATTTGATATATCATATACTTAATGCGCACCATTTTAATATAAGAACACGTATATAACTCATGAAATCATATTTGAGAAAAGAGACACAAATCTGTTTTAATCTGCTGACGTATAAAATATGGCCACCACAAAACATTATATTATCACAGGGATTATTCCTGAAGAGGGATTATTAACTCATGAGACCTATTCAGTAAGGATATGCTCTTCTGATGTTCAAATCACGTTCAAATCTCGGTTTGATCTAGTGTAATAGGATTTTATGATATATAACAAATGATCAATTTTCAAAGCAAACATGCATCTGAAAAATGTGTCAAAACTTAATACCTCTTATTTGCACTCTTTTTTTTAAATGACCCATTTGGCGGCCATGTTGAAAATGTAAATGTTTTACGCTCCACGCAACTTTTCACCTTTTTGGACGCTTGATACATCACCAAAAAAGATGTTTTGCCGGCAAGTTTATAATGCTCAATATTATGAAAACAATATGTAACAAAGTGGTAAATTATACAATATTGATATTTTATTACTCATTTACATCAGCTGAAACCCTTTTGTTTTTTGATCCCACAAAAGCAAAGTGACCCCCATTGGTTTTTACTGTTTTAAGAAGACTAACAAGTTTTCTTTCAATCCAGTGAATATTATGAAAAGTCAGTCATTCGTTTTTATATGAATCGTTAAATCAACAAAACATATTGGGTAGAGGTAGCCTTAAACTGCTTTCTGATATCATTAATATTAATGAAGAATTTTAACTTCCATATTTTAGAAAGAAATTCTATTTTTATCAATTGTGCAAACATCGATATTTTTCTAATACCACATTTGGAAAATTGTGTATGAATTTGTTCTGCTTTCGATCAAAATAACAAATTTTCCCAAAAGTCACATAATGTGTAAAACTCTTTTGTTTGACCGAGCTTAACAAAAAATGAACACACGGACATATATTTTCTTCGTATTTTTTATTTTCTCGAATTCTCCTCTTAAAACTATGGTATGGCTTACAATTTTTTTTGACTTTACATTGGAGCAGATCCTTAAATCTCCCGTACTGTATGTACATACATAACACTGTTCTATGGTTATCAGAATTAGAAAGTATTTCTCTTTACTCTTCTGTTTATCTCAGAGATAACGGATTTTAAGGCTGACCCTAAAGAGTTCTTTAATTTGTATCGTCCGTTTTCATGTAGCTTCTTATTACAGTGTTCTTCATTCCTACGCTTTAAAGAGCGATGTCTACCCATATGTTTATTATTGGCAGTGTTCAAAAGGTAAAAATAGTTCAGTACATTTTTTAACATTGTCTACTGCTGATTTTAAGAAGGCACTGCAATAGCTATACATGTTTGTACTCGACTCACAGTGCCCGTGTTTTCAACAATGATTGAATTATAAAAACTAGCACAAGAAACCGTGCTCTTTTCATTACAATAATGAACAGGCTCGACACCATACACACAAATGTAGTAACAGAAATATGTCTGACAGACTACGGTATGTTGGGCTTGCTGTTACTTTGAGCAAAGCTTAAACCAAAACCACGGACCCTGCAACGCTACCCAACAAGGACGGGTATACCTAGTAACGATCATAAATACACCTTCAGTAGACATACCAGGAAGTGAATTGAACATACACAAATTGTTAACATTTATACGATCGAATATACACCACATATGACATGTATTACATATTTAAAGTGCTGAACCAAATTAAACATCATAAAGTTTCCAAATCCTCGAAAGAATGCTCCTTGATGTTGAAGTCATAATAGATGGATTTCGATTCATAAACATAAGTAATGGGAAATCATGAATATATATAAATTTCCTTACCTGTACACTGTCACCTCATCATTTCCGACTGTACAGGTATTGTCAAGACAGAAGGTATGTCAGAGATTTCTCAACGCTCCTCATTATCAAGAATGACAACCACTGAACATGGTACGTGTTGGGTTGATATTAACATTGTTGTTACTAAACTTCGGCCATATTCTAAGGCCAATAACTCCGTCTGCAATGTGGAATCGAATACTGTGATAGACAGTCAGTCATGTGGAACTTCAGAATATTAAACGAAGAAACAGTCCGTGCATTTGTTTTCAATGGTTGAGCAGTTTGTAAAGAGGTAAAATGCACAAAATATTCTACCTAAACATGCATCCAACCATAGCGTCAGGTATTGTCTTTATTTTGATTTTACCTATTACAAGAATTGTTCAGTCAGTACAGATTACTATATAATTAAAGTAACCTCAAAAATAACATAACATAATACTGTTTAATGTTCAACAAGCCCCCTAAAAGATGTAATAGTCACCCTAAAGTTTAACCCCCTATAAAGTCATAGTCAAAATCCCTTATCAAAAATCGGAATAAACATATGTAATTCAAGTATATTGAACTTGTACATGAGCTATTAAAAAGGTACATAACCAGGTTAACGAAGTCAAAATACGGCATTAAGGCTGATGTTATGATAAATGTTGCCCACCAGATTTATAACATGTCAATTTCTTAAGCGACCCAACTGAATGTTACGATATGACATGTTATTTGAAGATGATTTATTTCTCTTAAACTATGTGTGGCGAGGTATACCAGCCTNCCCGAAATGATCACATACGCACTGAGCACCAACGTACCCAGCCTCGGGACGTGGACCCAGCTTTCTTGGAGGCCAAAAAAATATACAAATAAAACAATAGACCTTTGACCATAAACACTACTTAAACTTCATATAAAAGGTCCTTTCTTAACATTCAATGTTATTATAAAAGAGCTAGACTTGTTATAAACATTTTTGTACTTTTCAGCTTCAATGTTTATAACATGTATAGTGCATTTATATAATCACAGAATGTTATCAAATGGCAAATCGTCTAAAATTCATTTATCGATCAAGATACTTAGCCTATGTTTTCTAATTTATAAATTGCTAAAATGTATTACCAGTTTTTTTGTAATTGATTTTAGTGGTTTCGCATGGCAACTTCTATCTTTATTTGAGGTCGGAATTCCTCTCAACATCTAGTAGAAGAGAAATAAAGCTCCTCATGACCTAGGTATATAAATAAACTTTAAATAATGGGTTATTTCTCAGCACTCGGTTGGATCGCCAAAGAGATTGACATGTTATAAGCCCAGTGAGCTATTTTTATAAAGACATCAGCCTTAATGCCTTATTATTGACTACTTTAACCTGGCTATGTATTGTTTTGTATAGCCAATGTACAAGTTCAATATATACAAATAACATATACAAGTTCCGATTTTTAATTGAGGTCTTTGAAAATGGTTTATCAGGGGGTTGACATTTAAGGTGACTACAGCATCTTTTAGGGGGCTTGTTGAACCTTATTCATTAACTTGATAAATCTAAGTACGCACAAGTTTACAAAGTCATACTCTTTTGGAGAATTAAACACCGAACATACAAATTATTGAATGCAACCTGCTGTCATTTAATCTGTATGTATGCTGGTGGCTTGCAGTCAGTAATAGAGTCAACTATACCATAACGGGTGCATACTTACAGGTGATGTAATGTACGTTGTTTATCGTCGTATAGATGTATGGTATATATATACTGTCATCATCAATAAAGTTACTGACACGAATTGATTTTAATCGTAAATAATTTGTCTTATTTCCATCCATAGGAAACTTCACAGGGTAATAAGTGTGCCATAAAGTTCAACAAAATAATCTGAGCCCGTGTACTGTTCTGTAATATTCTGCAACAACTAAAAAGATGTCCACAAGCCTAAGTAGTGTAATTTCAAACTTTGTTGCCAAAATAAAATTCAATTTCGGAATCCTCATGACACTACAAGTGTATGTTACTGTAAACAACGTACCTCTATATTGAGTAATAGTAAATAATAATAATCATTAACCAAATACGCATATTTTTTCTTAAATTATACAATTGAATTCAGGGTAAATTCATAAAAAGAAGAAGAAGAAATATATGACAACTATGACGGGAAAGCCATCGCTAGCTGAAGGATAATAGATGTACTAATTAAACACTTATATCAAATTAGCCGATAGAATACTTTAGAATCTCCAGAATGCTTTCAATAATAATTGACATTTCGAAAGCCGTTAAAATCAATTTTGAAGATAGATTTATTACAAAAAAACATGTAAATCTGTTCATTTATTTCTGGTAATGAATTTAATTATTGCAAAGCAATTTTGTCAGCATAGTATAATATTATATTTATGTATGAATGAGGAAAATCTGACATGCTGATGATGGTGAGTTTATCGTAAGTGTTATAGTTCGTGTGTGTAATCAATGATAATGGCAAAACACAACAAAAACAAGAGAACACCGCAGCGTCAACAAAACCATACGTCGGATTCAAAATCGATAAAACAATGATCGTTTTTAATCACAAGTAAAAGACCAGGTTTTCTGGAAGGTTAAGCATCTTCCGTTACATCGACGACACCGCCGCCACGTAAATCAAGGAAGTAAAGCCATGTTCTCACAACTATAACTCGGGTAGGGACAACAAAACCACAGGGCATACTAATTAGCTAGTATTCATTAACGTCGACCTTAATACATTATATATCTCACACAATGAAATTACATATCCCCAAATGAGATAATGATGACGACGATAAATCTTTTTCGACAGCAGTCGACATCTATCACGGAAGTCATGATATTCGGAGCAGGGATGCTACTTTCAAAAAAAGAGCAACTTCACAATCGGAAAATTCAAGTCGTTCCCTTATCGTGCAGCTTAGTATTAGGCCGTCCCTGTTGGTCATGTTGAAGTTAAGATCGAAGAAAGCGGCTGAAATAGCAGAACTTGTAGTGTATTTGACTTCAAGCTGAAAAGGGTATATGCGATCAATGTGGTCAATATAATTCTTGTTATTTAAAAAGGGCACTTCGCCGATTTTGTAATTGTGAAGTTGAAAGACTTGGTTAGGATTTTGTTATCAGACATAGTTGAAGTAAGGCTCATCAAAAGGAAGGAGCCTTGTACGAACACAAAACAAGACTGCCAAAAGGCACAGTTCGTTCCCATCAGAATTGATGCCTAGTCTGCTGGGAAATTTTACCAGCGAACTGAACAAAGATATTGTCAACCAAGACCTCAGTTATCCTCACAAATCCATCCTCATTATATTTCATTTTTTCCTCTGTTGAGCTTTCCACGAAATATATTCTGAATTCGCTTTCCTTGGGGAAAACATCTCTCATAATAAGAGAACGAATGCGTTCTTCAGTTTGGTATGAAGTATGGTAGCATAAAGAATCGAAAATTCAAAAGCTTTCATAGAAAAACATTGTTATCGGCGGTTGTTCAAGACTGATCAACAGATATTTTGATTTCTTTCTCCAAACTGTACTTTGTATTAAACAATGCGTTTGTTACCCTGATTGAATGGCAATAAATATGGTAGGGGGAAATTTGGATCCTGGCTTGTGTAGGTATATAGAAAAAGTCAGCAATACAAGTTGTTTTAAGGATTCTGGTGAATTTCCGGCATCCAAATGGAGGCAATGTAACGAGGCAGGTCCTTATCCTTCTCATTAACGGGTATTCGGAAAGATAGTATTATAGGCGCGTGATTAGATTTCGTCTTTCTAAAACAAGTACATAGGTAGAGTTGTTAGTCGGTTTTGCAAGCATGCGATGTACATTGTTATAGCGTTTGCAGCCAAAGATTCGGGTATTAGATACTTTTCTCTGCGGACACAACCACATACCTATCGTGCAGATCGTTGAATGTGGTTTTGCCTACGATGCCAACATTTTGGATTTTAAGCAGCTAGTTCCTTTTTTAAATGAGGAACCTTATAAAGTGAATCCAATTCAGCATGTTCTCGTTTTCCCCATTGCCTGGCGTAGTTTTCTTCGGAATCCAAAAGGTTCTTTTTTAAATGGACATTCTAGTTTATAGTAGGAGTCCCTTGATACCTTGGAACCTTCATGAAAAGGTCTCATATATGACTTTGCATTATTCCATCTACAGATGGACCATAGTCGTGTGGATCAAGAACATGCTGAAGTAGGTTTTTTTCTAATATATATTAATCCAACTGATGTGCCTTTCGATTGTAGTTCAAAAGCGTATAGGCAATTGCCTTTGACTAACTACGGGAAATGGTTCGGGCATGTTAGCTTGACAGACTTTTGACTAACTACGGGAAATGGTTCGGGTATGTCAGCTTGACAGACTTTTGACTAACTACGGGAAAAGGTTCGGGCATGTTAGCTTGACAGACTTTTGACTAACTACGGGAAATGGTTCGAGCATGTTAGCTTGACAGACTTTTGAAGCAGTATATTTCATGTAAATGACATCTATACCCTTGTTGGCAAAAATTCGACTTTCATGAAATACCGCGTTTCTGGAGTGATGCATACGCAAGATCCATCTGTAGGGACAGTAAAGAGTCGCGATTGTGACACATACTATGGACCATTAGGACATAATATGGGGGCAGGGGTCAGGGGTCAGAGGAGAATTGGTACAGGAGGATATGGGCACAGGGGACAGAGGAGAATTGGTACAGGAGGATATGGGCACAGGGGACAGAGGGCATTGGTACAGGAGGATATGGGGACAGAGGACAGAGGAGAATTGGTGCAGGAGGATATGGGGACAGGGGTCAGAGGATAATTGGTACAGGAGGATATGGGCACAGGGGATAGAGGAGAATTGGTACAGGAGGATATGGGAACAGGGGACAGAGGAGAATTGGTACAGGAGGATATGGGCACAGGGGACAGAGGAGAATTGGTACAGGAGGATATGGGCACAGGGGACAGAGGAGAATTGGTACAGGAGGATATGGGGACAGGGGACAGAGGAGAATTGGTACAGGAGGATATGGGGACAGGGGACAGAGGAGAATTGGTACAGGAGGATATGGGGACAGGGGACAGAGGAGAATTGGTACAGGAGGATATGGGGACAGGGGACAGAGGAGAATTGGTACAGGAGGATATGGGGACAGGGGACAGAGGAGAATTGGTACAGGAGGATATGGGGACAGGGGACAGAGGAGAATTGGTACAGGAGGATATGGGGACAGGGGACAGAGGAGAATTGGTACAGGAGGATATGGGGACAGGGGACAGAGGAGAATTGGTACAGGAGGATATGGGGACAGGGGACAGAGGAGAATTGGTACAGGAGGATATGGGGACAGGGGACAGAGGAGAATTGGTACAGGAGGATATGGGGACAGGGGACAGAGGAGAATTGGTACAGGAGGATATGGGGACAGGGGACAGAGGAGAATTGGTACAGGAGGATATGGGGACAGGGGACAGAGGAGAATTGGTACAGGAGGATATGGGGACAGGGGACAGAGGAGAATTGGTACAGGAGGATATGGGGACAGGGGACAGAGGAGAATTGGTACAGGAGGATATGGGGACAGGGGACAGAGGAGAATTGGTACAGGAGGATATGGGGACAGGGGACAGAGGAGAATTGGTACAGGAGGATATGGGGACAGGGGACAGAGGAGAATTGGTACAGGAGGATATGGGGACAGGGGACAGAGGAGAATTGGTACAGGAGGATATGGGGACAGGGGACAGAGGAGAATTGGTACAGGAGGATATGGGGACAGGGGACAGAGGAGAATTGGTACAGGAGGATATGGGGACAGGGGACAGAGGAGAATTGGTACAGGAGGATATGGGGACAGGGGACAGAGGAGAATTGGTACAGGAGGATATGGGGACAGGGGACAGAGGAGAATTGGTACAGGAGGATATGGGGACAGGGGACAGAGGAGAATTGGTACAGGAGGATATGGGGACAGGGGACAGAGGAGAATTGGTACAGGAGGATATGGGGACAGGGGACAGAGGAGAATTGGTACAGGAGGATATGGGGACAGGGGACAGAGGAGAATTGGTACAGGAGGATATGGGGACAGGGGACAGAGGAGAATTGGTACAGGAGGATATGGGGACAGGGGACAGAGGAGAATTGGTACAGGAGGATATGGGGACAGGGGACAGAGGAGAATTGGTACAGGAGGATATGGGGACAGGGGACAGAGGAGAATTGGTACAGGAGGATATGGGGACAGGGGACAGAGGAGAATTGGTACAGGAGGATATGGGGACAGGGGACAGAGGAGAATTGGTACAGGAGGATATGGGGACAGGGGACAGAGGAGAATTGGTACAGGAGGATATGGGGACAGGGGACAGAGGAGAATTGGTACAGGAGGATATGGGGACAGGGGACAGAGGAGAATTGGTACAGGAGGATATGGGGACAGGGGACAGAGGAGAATTGGTACAGGAGGATATGGGGACAGGGGACAGAGGAGAATTGGTACAGGAGGATATGGGGACAGGGGACAGAGGAGAATTGGTACAGGAGGATATGGGGACAGGGGACAGAGGAGAATTGGTACAGGAGGATATGGGGACAGGGGACAGAGGAGAATTGGTACAGGAGGATATGGGGACAGGGGACAGAGGAGAATTGGTACAGGAGGATATGGGGACAGGGGACAGAGGAGAATTGGTACAGGAGGATATGGGGACAGGGGACAGAGGAGAATTGGTACAGGAGGATATGGGGACAGGGGACAGAGGAGAATTGGAACAGGAGGATATGGGGACAGGGGACAGAGGAGAATTGGAACAGGAGGATATGGGCACAGAAGGGACACAGTGACCTTGTACATGTATAACAGTGAGACAAAGAGATAAGAATCCAAGGGCAGTAACAGTAGATACACACAGAAATAAGACATTACAGGCACATCTGACACCTATGTTATCACTGTAACTGTGATGGTCCTAATTTCAAATTCATTGGACAACTGGTTTAGGAGATATGGCATTACAAAGAGAAACAAAAACACGCATTTTTGAAGGAATTTAACTAAACACTCTTTTAAATTTTGAAAGCCACCGCATGCAAATAAATATTTAATGTCATACCAGTGTTCTTACGTAAAATGGATTTGTTGTTTGTCACATGTGGAGGCTTTCATTTCTGCATGGTTACTGTCCAAAAACACCATATTTTGGCTAATTTTGCATAGCAACTCAATTGTGTTGCTATGGTAGGGCATCTACGCATGCGCATTGGGGGGAAATTTCACCAAGAAAGATAACCACTATGATGTTTAGAACACAAAAAGGGAAATAAATTCAATTATTGTTTCCATCAGGTTTTCAAACGCAACATTGTGTTCGTTGAACTGTTGTAATGTCTATGTGCATGAGTACGTTTACTTTAGGAGAAACACAGACATTACATTAGTATGACTGCATCCTGGACTTTAGAGAATTCCTAGAGTCCACACGTGACAGTCCTGCCATTATTGGAGACCCGTTCACTATACATGTTTTCACATCAGTCTGTGACGTCTGTAAACATATGTCCCTGTATTTGCGTAGACATCGCCAGAGATAAACAATGTTATCAGGAGACGCTTACCCAACAGGAGACACTCGTTTTTTCCCTATTAAGTATATGGTGGTCCACCGATATCTTTCTATTTGTTTTGGCAATGTACATTGCGGTAGTTTTAACTTTTTGAGACGAAAAAAAAAAAAAAAAGGCAAACATAATATTTTGGACATTTTGTTTTTTATATCAAAACAAAATGAAAATAACAGGAGAAATATCAATAATACATCACATTCATAAAATCATAATTCTCATTAAAAGTTACATAATATCAACAATACAACATAGTATTTCTTAATTTCTTTGACACTTCTAAAATGTCACTATTAATGAGATCATCCCACTCCTGTTGTCTTTATATTCTCCATTACACTCACATTCAAGAGCTCTCTCACTTACACAACAAAATATCAGTGATAACATTACACAAGGCCCGTACAATAATAAAATGATCATGTTTCATACAAAGTGACTCTTCTTATCGAAGTCCAGCAACACGATGCGCTCTGGACTCTCCGCATGAGGAATAAAGCTCTCTGCACTAGCTGTGCTCTGATGGCTTGAGTGACCACTATCCATGAAGCTCGACTGAGCGCTACTTCCTGCCCGTGTTCGATGCCGCATATCAAGTTTGCCACTCATGTCTTTGTCTGGACTTGTGTCCTTTGTGCCTGGACTAGTCTGTGGCATAGTCTGGGTTTGTGTATCACCTTTATCAGGTTTATAGATCACCTGTGTATCTATCCCCATTACCTTACCAAACACCACACCAGGTCGCTTCGCCACACCGTTCCTCAGGCTGTAACAGAACACAGTGTCATATATGTAAGTTTTTCGTAGGTTTTAGAATACAAGTAATTCTTTTTAGTAAAGTTGATCATGCTGATTATAATCAATTGAACTGCAGTGTCACATTATACAAGATACAAGATTTTTTTTATTAAACGTCACATATTTAAAACGTTTGTTAAAATTTCTTGTATCACTATGATATGAAAATGAGGTATAGTCTACAGCAGATAACAAAATTGGCTAAAAATCTTGACCATGGATTTTAACTCACTATTATTGAATCATGATGCTACAGTAGGGATTTGTTTTATATTTCTTTATCAACAAATAATATCTCTGATGGGATTCTGCCCATATTAATTTATTATTCAAATATGTCTTGTTGAATAAATGTACACATAAGCTCAAAGATTGACATTATGATTTTGTTTACATGTACTTGCACAACCTGATTTAGTTTGGGAACAAATAAAGGTTGGGTTAATCTATGCGAGCTCCTGCTTACTTTGATTTATCTTAGATGAGAAATGAAAATGAGATGATACATTTTATGTTATTTGCTTTCATTATTTCCCTGATTGAACTTATATTACAAACCAAGTTATAAGTTCGTCTAGGAGCCCCTGGTAATGTTTATACTGTGCTTCTCCAAACTCCTGAAATAGACAAGTTTAACATTCACATGTTGGTTATACTTAAACAGGGGACACAACTGCTCCCTAGGAAAATCAGATAAGTGACTAACAGTGCAATAGACACAAAATAATGACTTAATTAATTCAACATCATTAGACACCTTCATAAGGATTTTTAACCCTTATTTCCATTTTAAAAGGGATCTGCTAATTTTCAAACTTTTCAAATTCAAGTAAAATTTAGTTTAAATTTGGGAATAAATTTTCAACGCTTAGAAGCAAGCATTTTCTGCATGAAAATATTTCAACATACCTTTATGATTTAGTACATATGGTATACATACATAACAATTTCTATGACACCTATTTAACAGAACTTACAGTAGGATCATGCTGTGCATGTTCATAAGCATCAGCAAATTGGTGTATAAGGTCGGTGGATGAAGATCCCAGGTAATCAGGATATAGACCCAGTAGGTAATGTCTCACTGTCTTATTGGGGTGTCGACCCTCTGACCCCGGCTCCTCAGACTTCAAAACCTCATCTTGTTAACAAAAGCATGACAATTTTCATGTAAATCCAATTTTTTCAGTTGTTGTTAGTTAGAGGTGAGGCTTGATTGTAGACAATTTGATTACAGAAATAAGATTCCTAATAATAACAATAAGATTTCATACATATTAGGAAATCTGTAACAACTCGGAAAATATTTTTTCTCTCTAAAGTGGCTAATTTAGATTAAGAAGCATTTAATTAGTCTGATCAGGACACTTATTTATCACAGAAACTTGACTTGAAATTGAAGTTATAATGATGCTCACAAGTCTTTAATTTACTGAAATTTTAAAGTAAAAAAAACCAAGAGGCCCATGGGCCTTAACGGTCACCTGATATATTTATACAGAGAGTTGATTTCGTTTTTAACATGAACAGAAATATTATTCAAAGTGACAAAAAACAATAAAACCACCTTATTCAATATCAAGCATACAGATTTCAGACTAAAAAGGATTTGAAACTAGCACCTCTGATTCTAAACAAGGAAAATGAAGAAATTTTAGCACACTGACTCCCTTGAGCCCCACCCTACAGCCCTTGGGGGTAGGGCTGGCTCAAAATTTTCAAAGTATCAAACTGTCAACTCAAGGTTATAATTCCAATCAAGTTATTAACATGTAATATTCAA